ATAGGGTTGTTATGCAAGTATTCACAAATGAAAAAGCGAGTTTAGAAGTAATGACATAAAATGAATTAGTGGGCGAACCCTCGAAAATCGCAGGTTGAACAATTGCAGACGCATGCGTTTAAGTGATCAGGAAGGCAATTAAAAATAAGGTATTCTGACAGATAGCAAATCGCAATTTCTGCTAAAATCTGGAACACCTTCCATTGGAGAGCACAACCAAATCAATACGAAATTCGGACTCATGTGACAAAAGATACCCGCAGCTGTTACATCTGATTTGGGAGGGTTTGTCCCTCGGTTTGTCCACTTATTTGTTTTATGACGAAAGAATTCACATTGTATGTATTCTACTGTATAATGGTCAGCATCAGGCTAAACACTTTCTACCAATATATTATATCATACTCTTATAACATCATATGTCGACTCAATCAAACTCGCGCAATGAATTCAGAAGGGATTTAAAATATAGAACGTAACATCACACAGAGGAATCGTTCCATTCAATAAAACGAGCAGTCATGATGAGCACCATCGTGATACGATCATTAATCGATCGGTTCAGAAGATTTTTGCACGCTGACCGCACCAACATCCACAGACTCCGCTGTATCCGGCCTAACCGGACCCATCAACTAATAAGGGGCGGCGGTAAAATATCCTTCCCGTCCCTTCAATTAACAGTACACGATGCCGAGAAACCGTATATGTGTTTGTACGTGTGCTTGCTATGGTTAATCATGCATCCGGCAAGGCGGTACTTTAGATAAGTTTAGTTTACTAGTTTACCGGTCGATAACAGAATGGGGAAGCCACACATGGAGGTAGTGAAATGGTAAACACGGTGGTTTTCCAGCGTGCAGCTCAACGATAAGGAGTTTCTTGCGAATGCAAACTGTATATAACTTGTTCTGGCGTTCTGGGTGAAATAATTAGGCTTCGTTCTAACCGGGGTTATAAGGATTGGAGGAAAGGAAGCTGGCGTCATCCTTGCTCTGCCTTACCAAAAACTCCAAACTACCTTCGAGTCTGGGAGCAAATATCTCACTGGAGAAACACTTTTGGTGAGAATCTCAAAAATTTAAAGCTTAGGTACTAGAAATGTACAAGTGCATTGAAAGCTGATCAGAAACCGCAAAAAACCTAATATCTACCCCGATATCTACTGATCATTTCTCCCCGGAGGAAGAAAATGCAGGTTTTCAACACCTACAGCAAAACGACATTACTATAAGTAAATACAGAGGCTAAAAACCTGGATCCTGAAAAAAATCACTAGAGCCTTCAAATATTCTGGGCCAAATATACTAGCGGCGACAGCTATATGAGAAGCCGAGAAACGACCCCTCATAACTTAACTGACCAAACCGGACCAAACTAATCGAAGTTCTACCAGAATTTGCTCATGATAAATTGGGAAGGTTCTGAAGCCGTTCTGAAGGAATGTTGAAGACCATGAATCAATAATTGATTACGTGGTAGATCATCAAATTGGTCAAATTACAAAATGGAAATTATCATCATCCTGTATTGAGAGTGTTGGTACTGTTCTACTGTTGAAAGTTTGCATATTCTCCAGTGAGAGTCCAGTTAAGTCAATCCATGAATCCAATATACTCTCGAATATACTTATTCTGATTGATTCCACCTCGGAATCCATCAATTTATAGCTGTACCAATTTGGTTACCCTGGAACATTCTTTTCTGTATGCCATTGGCCTTCCAATTTCGTTAAGTCTGTGGCTTAGAGCAAAAGTGGCCCTAATCGAACTGATCGGCCATTTCGCTAACGCCCGCTCCAACCGCTCTCCTTCACCTGATTGATACTATCCGTGAAACCGCCTGGAACCTTTTGTAATCCGGAGTTCCGGCGAAGTTGGAAAAGGCTCTCAAAAAAGCACCGCAATTCCGCTAAAATCATTAATCTTAAAGAAAGTCCATAAGGGCTTATCCGGCAGTGGCAGTAAGCGCCACACTATTCTATCACTGATAAATAGTGATTGATAAATCATGATCCACCACCAGGAAAGCTAGTACTGCACTTCTTTTAGTTTCCGATGTCCGGTCAGAAATCCCGTTATTGTCTTGAGACTAATCTTGATTGTTGTGGTCCTGTAAGTCTTTGTCATTGTAGCACCATTACTGCTCCTTCCGCTTCATTAAATTCTTCTTGAAAATTAAAATTATCAAGCCATCGAATGACTCTCGCCTTGTCAGTGGTGTTGATGCTCCTGTTTGTATCCAAATGTCTGCTTGGCCAATCCTCTCTACTCCGCCGGAAGATATGTTCAGACCTTCCCATACTATCTTCGAATTGATGTGAGAAAAACTCAACACTTCAATGGCTGCTTGGAGAGGATTGCTATTCCGATATTTCCTGTCGAGGCTGAACTGTACACATGGCGTGAATTTTGGCACGAATGATGCTGGGAAATCAGCTTATTGGTTCGGTGTATTTGGTGCAGGGCCAATGTCTCCTGCTCTAGTTCCCGAGGGAATCTTTGAGTCAGTTGTCAATGTACTGTAATGGCGCTTACACCGTACGCTCTCCATTTCAATACGACTTTTGTCACAATGTAAAATTGTGTAAGGTCCATAATAATGGCCTCTCGAATGGCCTGTTATGTCGCTGTTGAATTCGATATGATTGATCTAGTAAATTTTCGCTTTCTGTATAGTTTGTTCGGTTGTACTGTATCACACTGATGCTGCGTAGATGATCATAGGCTTTACTAGAGTCACTGGATTTTATTAGTGGCTTCAGGATTTCGCTTTACTGTCGATCTCGTTCTCTCGGTTCCAGAGTAGTATCTGGGATGAGCCCTAGATACTTCACCTCATGATTTCAATCAAGGTCTGCCCCTGTGAGATAACCGAACGTGACAACATATTCTGTAGAGAATTTTGGTCCCAAGTACCACAGATTATTAATATGTGCAAATACTAAGTCACACAAATGTATGAATGAATGTATTCTCTAGAGGAAAATAGAACATATAGAGGAATTGACAAAAATATTGACGAAAACATACATGCTAAGATGCTGGATACTGGGATTTTCTATCATGAGCTATAGACGTTTGCCTCCTAGGACCAACAACGCGTTACGTGATCTGTGGGACTATAGTTTCTGCTTCGGTGTGAAAAGATTCAGAAACATCGGAGAGTTTGAGAGATTGGCGGGCAATGTAAACATTGTCTGATAAACTGTACTCAAGCAGCTAAACTTATTATTATAGTCGTAAAGATTCCTTGTGAGATGAAATAACCAACTTGAAAATTGTTGGAGCCAGGCTCTAAAGATTTCAAGGTATGGTATGGGTGCATTACCTATAGTATTTACTATAGAGGAATCGACAAAAATATAGGTTTCAGACTTCAGGGATTTCCATGAAAAGTCAGCCGCTGCCTAGACCAACAAGGCGTATACGTGATCCGGGACTATACTTATCGCTCCGGCGATCCGTGTTCTTATACGGCAGGCCGATCGTGCCGTGACTGCTCAGGGCTCCCACCGCTCCCCTGCGCCCTTATGCTCCCAACTCGCCTCCCATTGACGCCCCCGACACACATCGCAAACGACACACAAAACACACACACATACGGCTTCGTGCTCGAGTCCATGCGGCGGATAATGGATAACAGCCTGGGACTAAGGATTAGAGGACAGGATTGGATCCCCGATATTTGTTGTCATTTCAAACATTTTGAATGTTTCGAACTTTAGTTACGCTGAGAGATCGTTACCGAGTTAATAATCAGAACCGATAGAATCAGAATAGCTTTACAACCATCAATGACGTGAAAAATCATTTTCCTAGTAATATACGATGCATCTCCTTCTCCAATTCAAAGTCATTCCATGATCTAGTGATTTTATTTCCCTCCAGTGTTTTCGAGAGTTTTCTTGACCAGAAACTTATTACCGTTTATGAATGGAATGCAGTCTTAGTGTAATAGAAGCCCAGAACTGCGAGATTTATTAGGGTGAAAGTTCAATCAGTTGATTAATTGAGCCACGATGAATCGATTAAATATTGAGCTAGTCCGATGATGATCGATAATGCGTTTAAACCTCATTTTAAAAAACTTGATTTGTGCAGATGCATCATATAGTCATGCAGGAACCAATTTATAATATTCAGTTAGTAACTTGTTATTCTCAGATATTCTCAAGATAAATGTTTGTCACTTCTTTCGTAGCCTAGTGCACAGTTTGATAAAACATGTTGTAACTCATCACCCGAGTCATCACCTTATTGTCGACTAGCTGGTAATCACTCGTTGCGTCTCACTCTCATAATCCTTTCAATCTCCTGAATCTCTCTATCTCTAGACCCGATAATATTTCGCAGTTATGGGGCTGGAAAGTAAGTCCTTTAGACCATCCGAACGTTGCTCCAAACCTAACAGTCACCACGTGAACCAGTTTATTGAACTTTTGCTAAAATGTTCCATATTTCGAAGTAACATACGGAACACCAATTGAGATTCTTGTCAAATGAATCTGCGACATTTATAGGTTACCCCTCGGGTTACATAATTCTAGCCATAATTTTATCAAAAGTTCAATAAGTAGAGTATACAGCACGGTATACAATTCCCTTGAGTAGCTGGCTCGAGAGCCCTTCAGACAGATTCGAAGACAGAGCTATCGGGAAACAATAATCAGATCTTTGCATCTTCGATAAAGCAATCCAAGCGTCAAATTCAGAGGTACTGATGCAACTTTCAACACCTATAATGCCTTATCAAGCACTAGCAGATGGTTACAACTTTTCCATCAGGGGGGACAAAAATTCATCATTAGCTTCAGCGTTACTATAAAACTTTCTGAAGAACATTCGAGTTACGGTCAGGTCACGTTAGATTTAGGATATTCCAAGGGATATCCTGCAAGTAAATCGGTATTGAAATATATCCAGTATCGACTCTACCTACAACCATTCTATTCACCTTTGGTTCATCAGTTTTCGAAATACAAACACGAATAAACATACCTTGAAGGGTGCGTTCGGCACATACAAAGGTGGGTCCTTGGCGCTCCCCATCAGCTTATCATTCAGAGGCGGTATCCCCTCGTCCGAATCGCAAACACTGTACCGTCCCACGATGCCATCTGCCGGCTTTGCCTCATACCCCGCCGGTTGCCCCACGCAAAACCCCTTCGCCTTCACCCAAAAGCGGAATTTACTGTTGTCCGCACTCACGATCTCTTCGCCTCTGAGAGTGCGCAGAATCCTCGCGTACTTTTTCAATGTGATGGTCTTCGTTTTGGCCAAGTCGCCGTAGGTCTGGATGACCCACGGCTGATAGGCCGCCAGCATGTCGTTCTTGTTCTCTGCGCTGGAACGCTGCGGATTGTCGTTGTTGTTTTGTTCAGATCTGGCCGGCTTGGAGGACGCTTTCTTCTTCGCGGGCTTTTTCGGCGGCTTCTGAACCGTTTTCGAAGTGTCCATCAGTTTGTCTTTCACTAACATGGTCGCCATGATCGCTGTGAGGTTCAGTTTAACATTTCACTTCACACTACACCAGTTGAGTTCAGTGTGTCACCTTAATGAGAGTTTTATGTGATGCGTTAACGGTTGGCGTACTGGTTTGAATGGCTGCTGCGTGCTGTTTTTTCGACTAATTACTGGAAAATTATTGCCTGCAAAAAATTATCGTCGTTAACTTTGAGTTGGTAGGTATTTGGTTCGTGATCATGAACTATTCAAGGTGTTGTCTAAAAGCTAGGATAACAGAGACGGATCCATATAGTTTCTAGGAATGTGATATTGGATCATTTACAGTAACATCAACATTGGCGATGAAACAAGCTGATATACATACAGAATACTTCTTGTTATGCGTTGTTATGTACTTATTCATTAAATATGAGTATGTATACTCAATAATTTCCGAGATAACTTTAATATGTGAGGTGTCAAAAATAGTTTCGACGTTGTGAAAGTTCAAATTTTATTCTTTACTTACCTCTCTAGTCTTATTAGGGGACTCAAGTCCTAACGTCTTTGTGACTGCAGGTATGACTTCGGACTGAATATAGTGATTTGCAAACAAATCAGGTGAAATCTGGATAGATACCTGTGAAATTATACGTCTACTATTCGAAACTGAAATCTAAACAATAATCCTAATAAAATATAGATGACAGTTAGGTTTTCAATTGCGGTCTCGACAATTTCCTCGACAATTTCTCAGTGATATACTTAGTAACTTTTAGGTATTTAGCATACCCTTTAATAACAATTGCATGGAAGAGGTAAAGAATAAACCATCACATTGTATGAATCTCGCATATCTAAAAATATACCTATACCTACATACACAGGGTTAGGTACCTACAAAGAATGTTTTGACCAAGAAGTTTACAGAACTTGTTTCAATAATTATGTAAAGATAGATATGTCACGGGGTCACGGGGAACAAAAAAAACCTGGAACTTTAACGTTTAACGCAATGATATTTTTCGGAGATAGCTTCAAACGAGAGGGTTCAAGTAAGACGGTCGGCGTAATCAATTTCCATGATTAAAATGCGAAAGTGTACTAATCATAGGTAAGTAGGAAAAACTATAAGAGCTTAGAATTGAGCCACTGACAGTTCATTTATATGTAATGAAGTAGAATTATCTGCCTACAATGAATTTAGCGAGGAATTTGAAGATGAATTAACTAAGTTAAAACGTCAATATTCAATATCCTAATAAACAACTCTTCACAAACACTATTTACGTTACCAAATGAATAGACAAATAAAATACTACTCGCACCTCAAACTAAAACAAAACTTGCTAATCATTGACAGCTAATTATTTCCACTTACCACTCAACGAAAACACCGAGGAAAACTCGAAATCTCCACATAAAAACGCCAAACCAGAAACAATACCCAAAACACCGATTACACGACACCCCAGAAAAAAAACGCCGAACAGTCAATCGAATCGCGCGCGATCGCAGTTATCCCGCAACACAACGAATCCTGATCCCACGACAGCGGATGAATCGCAGATGGCCCGAGCCGAGAGAAACAGCGGCGCAGCGATATTTCGAGAGACGCGTCCCGCTAACTCGGACCGATGCGTTTGCGAAATGACGCCGACAGGCCGGCGGTGGTGCGGAGCGGGCCCTTTCGGAGAGAGCGCTGGCCGAGAGAGCCCTCCTCCCCTCCCCGCGCTCGGATCCATGGCCTACGCGGATGGCCCGTGCGGGGATCCCGCGATAGGCGCGGCGGAAAATCTAGAGTCTAGGGCGTGCACTATCTGAGGAGTCGGATTTACCCGAACGTAAAAATGTTCTTGACTCACATAGGATTCATAGGAATTTCTTTCTACATTTCTCCAAAAAATTATCGCACCACCAAAAAGTAGCCAGAAGTTTAGGAAATACTATCGTGAAAACTACGTGTCCGATATGGACGTTTCTTGTTTTGAATGACAGCTTATTTCCTCCTGGACATTGGTGTGCATACCGCCCATACCGGGTCTAACAATTCGTCGTTGAATTTAAGTGGCGTATGTCAATTCTTAATATTCTCAAGAGATGCAATTTAAGTTTTACTTGATTTTTTCTCTCCTCGTTTCTATAAATTGAAAATATGCGTATTATTTCAATATACAGGGTGTTTCATAATTGAATGCTGATCCTAAAGAAAGGGTGATAATCCTTGGATGATTTTAAAAAAAATTCTTCATTATTCCCCAATATCTCTGAAACCGCTCTGGCTTCTTTCTTCATTACAAATACTTAAGAATAGTTACCATAAAATTATAAAAATATTGCCCAGATCTTTTGGTTACCACAATTATTGTGAAATGATGACTAAGAGTAAAAATCGAATAGGGACAAGCAAATGAATGCATTTTATTTTCTAACTCGAAAACCGTTCGCCGGACGAAAAAAAGACAAGAGACCATTTTTATGAGAAGATAGAGGATAATTACAAAAATAATATTCATTTGGAAAAAAGACAGTGGCGTATCATTATTTTGATGAAAAATATGACAGAGTATGTCAACAGGGACGCCACTGATGGAAATTAAGAAATCCTCCATTATGGAAAAAATGTATTTCTATTCATACTCGGCATGTACCAAAATTGAAGAAAAAAGCCAGAGCGGTTCCAGAGATATTGGGGAATAACTGATTTTTTTGTTAAATTTCAACATCCTGTTTCTCAGAAACGAAGCTGTTACGGACCTATGTTCACATGAAGAATTTTTCTTAAACTCATCCATGGATTATCGCCCTTTAGAATCAGCATTCAATTATGAAACACCCTGTATATGTAGTGGGACAAATCAGATGATTTGCCCCATAATGTCACTGATTTGTCCTTTTACAAATATATTGAAATAATACACATATTCTTATTTTATAGAAGCGAGGAGAGAAAATCACAAAAAATCAAGTAAAATTAATGTACCACCTCGATTAATCTACAGAAAGAGATCTGAAGAAGAGTGAGCCAATTCCATTAAATCTTTGTGAACACTCAGATTGTATTATATAGAATCGAATCCTGATACATAAATAGATGATGGAAATTTCATTCCTAGGGGGTACATTCCGTACATTTCGAAAAATATCGAAATACTCCCCAAAAGGGGATTTAATGATCATGTTCATTCAATCTCAATGAGATTATGGAGGAAAATACATACAAAACGCGAATCAGTTGCAGACGTTGCAGTCTTAAATCAAAAATCAAGAATAATTATATGAATCAAGAATAATTATATGAATTGGCGAAATAACGGCCAACAAAAAAGTTTGCGAAGTTTATCGCCCTGTAACTTGTTCATTTCTTGTCCGATTTTGGTGAAATTCCGACCAAATCCTAGATTCATGTTTTGAAGTGTTGACCTGGATTTGAGTTTCGAAAATAGGCTGATGACTTGGTTATTATACAGGGTTACTATTTCAAGCTTATATAACTTCTTGACACCCTGTGGCAAAAGTGAGTGATTAAACTCAGCTTCATCATGAATTGAGTTGAAGTGTGATGCCTTATTACCACGATGGTTTTGATTCACGTCAAAAACTTCTTTCACAGAGAAGATACAAGTGTTTTAAGAAAGTGTGGATTTTTTGAATTTGCACAACACACCTGTTATCGATTAACATCTAGGAAACACATCTATGAGCTTATATCAATTGTTTCCTCCTCGTTTTTTAGCACTTTAGAACTTTGTTCGATTCACGCTCTCAGATTTACGATACATTTCATCAGACTAACGAACACCAAGTGCTCTGGAAAGAGTTTTGGAGTCTAGGAAATCACCATCCCACTTTTTTGCACACAAGTCAGTCACTGGAAACCAACACATTTTCTTTCTTCACCTGTCTTCTCCACTAAGATCCATTATAATAAAAATTCGATATTTCAGTAAAGAGCCGACTCGACTTTTGCTTAGTAAATAAGATAACTAAGAATTTACAATTTGGAATCTGCAAATTTCACAATTGGACGAATATGCATTTTATCGCTATGAAATTATCCTGCTAGGTTTTGATTGTCAATAAATAGGTTGTCACATATTTGCGTTTGGAAAACTACCAGTAACAAGCATGATAGAAGCTCATGAAATCTGAATATACTGTAGAAATGATAAGATTCGATGATATTGAGTAGTACCACATTTCATATTCGCCAGTTTGTGTCGAACTTTTCATACTATTTTTTCACAAAAATGCTATTTTATAATTATATGAACGGCGTATTTCATATCCGCCGATTTGCTTCGAAATATTTCACTCATTTCAGATACACGCCTGAATTAAAGAACAAAATATAACATCCAAACTATCAGGATTTGATATACGCCAATTTGAGAGCAAATGAATGAAGGCGCTATTTGTTACACCAAAAACATAATTTTCGCCTTTTTCCGATATACGCCAATTGGAAAAACATGTTGTATTAGCAGCTCATTCTTTTATTGGCCCCACGCCGAAGAAAAAATCCTGTGCACGGCCTTGCAGCCCCCCCTCAACCAGTCAGGTCAGTGGAAATAAAGAACCCTGACATCAGCTTCCACCCACCAACTGAAAGCGCAACTAAATAGCACATCTGGCCCACCTACCACCAAGCAGTGACTCGGGAATTAGCTGCCACCTCAAGAGTGAGGTTAAAAATGTGAGACACCCTGGCGCCAATTACAACGAAGATCCCACAGATCCTACTGGAAACGATAATTTGCCACTGCACCAAGGCCACCAAGGATTGTGGCATAGATTGACGACTCCCTGCAAATGTGGATGCCAGAATGCTCGACTGTGCCGCACAGAACGTTGCCTCTACTGCCAAGGGAAATTTCACAACATCGTGCCTGTTGATGAGGACGACGACGACGACGACGATGATGAAGCTGACGTAGAGTCTCTTCAGCAAGAAATATCCAACACTGAGGATGTTGATGGACTGATGATGTCCCTCACGGCCAAAGAAGACAAATGACAGCATATATTCGACTTTTTTTATT